ATAAAGATTTAAAGTCATTTTCGCTATGTTCGAAAAATTCAAAATTAAGTTGAAAAGAATTGAGTTTTTAAAAAGTTTTAAAATATTTTTCCACCAGTTTAAGCATGTTCGAAAAATTCGAAATTAAGTTCGAAATTTGAAAATGTGTGTTTTTTTGTGCAAAACATTATAAATAATAGTTTAAAACCATTTCTTTGTTAATTAATAAAGATTTTGAGCATTTTTTTGACATGTTCGAAAAATTCGTTGAAAGAAATTATTAAAATTACCTTTTTAATCAAAAATAAAGCTGCAAAGCTTTTTAGATATTTCTATAACAAGATTTTGCATGTACAAAAATTTCGAAATTAGGTTCGAAAATTTTCGAAATTCTAAAATTCTCCAAGTTTTTTCTAGAATATTATAAATAATGTTTTGAAACAGTTTTTATGTTAATAAATTTTAATTTTAAGCAATTTTTAACAAGTTCGAAAAATTCGAAATTAAGTTCGGAAATTTTCGAAATTCAAAAAAGGGCTATTTTTATGTAAAAATTTAAACTTAAAGATTAGAAAACGATTTGACATCGATAAATAAAGATTTAAAGTCATTTTCGCTATGTTCGAAAACTTCGAAATTAAGTTCGAAAATTTTCGAAGTCGAAAAAAATGCTTAAAAATAAATTTTTCATAAAGAATTGAGTTTTAAAAAGTTTGAAAATATTTTTCCACCAGTTTTTGCATGTTCGAAAAATTCGAAATTAAGTTCGAAATTCGAAAATGTGTGTTTTTTGTGCAAAACTTTATAAATAATAGTTTAAAACTATTTCTTGGTAAATTAATAAAGATTTTGAGCATTTTTCGACATGTTCGAAAAATTCGAATTTAAGTTCGAAAATGTTTGAAGTTGAAAAAAATGCTTAAAATTACATTTTTAATCAAAAATAAAGTTGTAAAGCTTTTTAGATATTTTTATAGCAAGTTTTTGCATGTTCGAAAAATTCGAAATTAAGTTCGAAATTCGAAAATGTGTGTTTTTTTGTGCAAAACTTTATAAATAATAGTTTAAAACTATTTCTTGGTAAATTAATAAAGATTTAGAGCATTTTTCGACATGTTCGAAAACTTCGAAATTAAGTTCGAAATTTTTCGAAGTTGAAAACAATTATTAAAATTACCTTTTTAATCAAAAATAAAGTTGCAAAGCTTTTTAGATATTTCTATAACAAGTTTTTGAATGTACAAAAATTTCGAAATTAGGTTCGAAAATTTTCGAAATTCTAAAATTCTCCAAGTTTTTTCTAGAATATTATAAATAATGTTTTGAAACAGTTTTTATGTTAATAAATTTTAATTTTAAGCAATTTTTACAAGTTCGAAAAATTCGAAATTAAGTTCGGAAATTTTCGAAATTCAAAAAAGGGCTATTTTTATGTAAAAATTTAAACTTAAAGATTAGAAAACGATTTGACATCGATAAATAAAGATTTAAAGTCATATTCGCTATGTTCGAAAAATTTGAAATTAAGTAGAAACATTTTCGAACTCGAAAAAAAATGCTTAAAAATAAATTTTTCATAATGAATTGAGTTTTAAAAATTTTTAAAATATTTTTCCACCAGTTTTTGCATGTTCGAAAAATTCGAAATTCGAAAATGTGTGTTTTTTTGTGCATAACTTTATAAATAATAGTTTAAAACCATTTCTTTGTTAATTAATAAAGATTTTGAGCATTTTTTTGACATGTTCGAAAAATTCGTTGAAAGAAATTATTAAAATTACCTTTTTAATCAAAAATAAAGTTGCAAAGCTTTTTAGATATTTCTATAACAAGTTTTTGCAGGTTCGAAAATTTCGAAATTAAGTTCGAAAATCTAAAATTCTCCAAGTTTTGGCTAGAATATTATAAATAATGTTTTAAAACATTTTTTATGTTAATAAATTTTAATTTTAAGCAATTTTAACCATGTTCGAAAAATTCGAAAATTTTCGAAATTCAAAAAAGCGCTATTTTATGTAGAATTTTGTAGATAACTATTAGCAAATGATTTGACATCAACAAACAAAGATTTTAAGCCATTTTCGCTATGTTCGAAAAATTCGAAATTAAGTTCGAAATTCCAAAAACGCTTAATTTTACGTAAAATTTCGTAAATAATATTTTAAAACTTATTTAACATAAATAAATGAAAATATAGAGCCTCTTTAGCCATGTTCGAAATTATGTTCGAAAATTTTCGAAATTCAAAAAAGTGCTATTTTTATGTAAAATTTTATAATTAACGATTAGTAAACGATTTAACAGTTATATTTGAAGATTTTGAACAATTTTAGCTATGTTCGAAAAATTCGAAATTAAGTTCGAAATTCCAAAAACGCTTAATTTAACGTAAAACTTCGTAAATAATGTTTTAAAACTTATTTAACATATGTAAATAAATGAAGATTTTGGGCAATTTTAGCTATGTTCGAAAAATTCGAAATTAAGTTCGAAAATTATCGAAATTTGAAAATGAGCTATATTTATGTAGAATTTTATAATTAATGTTTAGAAAACTATTTAACAATAATATATGAAGATTTTAAGTAATTTTGGCCATCTTCGAAAAATTCGAAATTATGTATGTTCGAAAATTTTAAAATTTTCAAGAAAAAATTAAAATTTACTTTATAACTAACAAAAGTTGTTTTTAAGCTTTTAAATCTGTTTTTTTTTTATATTTTTGAGAAAATTTTGAGTTTAAGTTCGATATTTTTAAAGTTTTTTCATGTTTAAAACTATTTGTTCCACTTTTAAATACAATTAAATTATCACTTTTCTGGTCTAGTTTAACGTAAGGTCACTTTTAACCCCTGTCTGCCAGTCCCCTCACTATAACCTTGATGAATTCTCAATTTCATAAATTTTTTTAGAAAATGTTCACAATTTTTTAAACAAATTTTGTAACAAAAACCCAACTTTATCTTGTTTTATTAAATCTTTTTCAATTTTAAAATTTTCACCGAAAAAAATCTTAAAATTTCCTTCACTATTAATTTAAACGTTTTTTTAATACATATTTTTATTTTAAACAATTTTTTCCGTTCTTTTAAGAAACCTTTCAAATGGCGCAAAATTTTCTAATACACTAAACTGTAAATCTTACTTAGTAGAAGGAGGGGGTAATAGTAAAACCACCCTTCCTACCAAACATTCTTCAACAAAACACCCACCACACCCTCCTTAAACAGTTACAAACATTATCAAATTGTTTGTCTGTCTATCTTCTAACTCATACGCATACTCTTGACCCCCTCCCACCATCACAAACCGACAGCCACGTTATCACAAAGTCTTAAAGAATTTGTCTTCCAAATAACTTTACAAAACATATTGTCAGTCAGTCAAATAGTGTTTACAAACGGTTTGTTGGTGTAGATACTGAATCAACTCATTCCACTTTCTATAAGATTCTGGTCACATGTGCTTTATGTTCTGTAATGGCTGGATGGATGATTCAAAACATAAACATCTTGGAGGGGATGGTTGGTTGTATGGCAAACAGATGGGTTTTAAAGCGCATGGCTGTTTTTAAATTAACGGCAGTTGTAGATTAGTAACGCTACTCTGTAATAGAGGGCAGCACCTGCCAGTAAATGTTTAGGTATAAGAAAGGTGACCAGAGGTAGCAAATTATAAATGAAAAATGTATTTTTGTCAAAAGAACAGAAATAGAACAGAACTAGAGCAGAACTAGAACATAGTCTAGTCTATAGTCTAGTCTATAGTCTAGTCTATAGTCTAGTCTATAGTCTAGTCTATAGTCTAGTCTATAGTCTAGTCTATAGTCTAGTCTATAGTCTAGTCTATAGTCTAGTCTATAGTCTAGTCTATAGTCTAGTCTATAGTCTAGTCTATAGTCTAGTCTATAGTCTAGTCTATAGTCTAGTCTATAGTCTAGTCTATAGTCTAGTCTATAGTCTAGTCTATAGTCTAGTCTATAGTCTAGTCTATAGTCTAGTCTATAGTCTAGTCTATAGTCTTGTCTATAGTCTAGTCTATAGTCTAGTCTATAGTCTAGTCTATAGTCTAGTCTATAGTCTAGTCTATAGTCTAGTCTATAGTCTAGTCTATAGTCTAGTCTATAGTCTAGTCTATAGTCTAGTCTATAGTCTAGTCTATAGTCTAGTCTATAGTCTAGTCTATAGTCTAGTCTATAGTCTAGTCTATAGTCTAGTCTAGTCTAGTCTATAGTCTAGTCTATAGTCTAGTCTATAGTCTAGTCTATAGTCTAGTCTATAGTCTAGTCTATAGTCTAGTCTATAGTCTAGTCTATAGTCTAGTCTATAGTCTAGTCTATTCTAGTCTAGTCTATAGTCTAGTCTATAGTCTAGTCTAATAGTCTAGTCTATAGTCTAGTCTAGTCTAGTCTATAGTCTAGTCTATAGTCTAGTCTATAGTCTAGTCTATAGTCTAGTCTATAGTCTAGTCTATAGTCTAGTCTATAGTCTAGTCTATAGTCTAGTCTATAGTCTAGTCTATAGTCTAGTCTATAGTCTAGTCTATAGTCTAGTCTATAGTCTAGTCTATAGTCTAGTCTATAGTAAAAATTTTGGGACATTTTTAAACTTTACATTTGTTTAAGTCCGTTTTTACGTTTTTTAGCCATTCACAATAGTTTCCTTGATTCCCTTTTGAGGACCCATTTGTTTTCCTTAATTAAACAGCTGTTTCCCTAACTCACCACTTATTACTCCAAAAGGAAGACAAAATATAAGAGAAAAGAGTTGAAAACTCTCAGCCACTGTTGCTTCAGTAAGAAAACATGCGCCTAAAACAATACACTTAACTAGCAAACACACACAAACCCTGGCCGGTATGCAATATTTCTTTACTTCTTATATTAATGTGTGTTGCTTTTATAGTGTTTTTACTGGTGTTGTTGTTGTTGCTGTTATTGCTCTTGCTTTTTTTTTTTTGTTAAACATTCGCAGAGACATTGTCATTAGAGAAATTTGTAACACTTTTGTAGTCTACTTTTAGGTGCGTGTTGAAGCATAACGTAAGCGCGTGATGAAAAATATATAAAGGAAAAAAATAATATACAAAAAAAAAAAATAAGGAAAAAAGTGTAGAAAAAAATATATATGAAAGAAAAAATTATGAAAATATTATAAAAGAAATTATAAAATTAAATAGAAAAGAAATTTAATAAAAAAATTTTAAATAAAAATAAATTTTAATAAATAAAAAGCTGCTATACAAAAAGAAAAAAAGTAATTATTTTATTAAATTTTTAAATTTATCTAAGTTTTTAAATTTTTAGTAGTAAAGAAAAAAGAAAAGTTTTTTTTCAGTAAATATTGTGTAATGAAAGTGAAAATCTAGTATTGAGTAAAACGAAACACACAACGTAAAGTTTTTGCTTTTCAAAAAAGAAAAAAAAATTCACTACTTCTTATACACACTCATACAAAAAAAAAGGAATATATCCTACAAACACATTTAACTTTTTTACAAGTTAAAACTTTCAATACAAAAGGAAAATGTTATAAAATGAAAAGAGAAAAAAAGTCAAAAAACCTAAACTTATGCGTGTAGTGGTGAAAATGAGTTTTCTTTTTTAATTTGCTTGAAAACTGTGTGTAAAGAGTGCGTGTTTTAAATAGTGTGCGTAAAAAACTATATATAATATTCATATTTTTTGCTGCCATATAGTATATGAATGTGTCACACTACTTCTACAAATGGATTAAAATAATTCACAACATGTTTCTCATACCACAACCAGGGAAAGAAACCCATCATCTTCACCATAAAACTTGTTCAAAACATAGTCATCTTCTCTATCCTTTGATAAATACTGTTGTTTTAGTGCAAAAAATGGCTTTTAAAATCTTTAAAATAAAGTTATGGATTTTAAATGCAATTTATTCGAAATCGAAAATATTGAACAAATTTAACTTATAAAGGCTACAAATCCGTTGGCAAGTTAGTTCTAGTTTTGTTCTTCTGTCTAGTTCCTGTTCTAGTTCTGTTCTAAGTTCCGTTCTAAGTTCTGTTCTAGTTCTGTTCTTAGTTCTGTTCTAAGTTCTGTTCTAGTTCTGTTCTAGTTCTGTTTCTGTCTTCTAGTTCTGTTCTAGTTCGGTTCTAGTTCTGTTCTAGTTCTGGTTCTAGTTCTGTTCTAGTTCTGTTCTAGTTCTGTTCTAGTTCTGTTCTAGTTCTGGTTCTATTCTGTTCTAGTTCCGTCTAGTTCTGTTCTAGTTCTGTTTCTAGTTCTTTCAGTTCTGTTCTAGTTCTGTTCTAGTTCTGTTTCTAGTTCTGTCTATTCTCTTCTAGTTCTTTCAGTTCGGGTCTAGTTTCTGTTCTAGTTTGTTCTAGTTCTGTTCTAGTTCTGTTCTAGTTCTGTTCTAGCTTTCTAGTTCTCTTTCTAGTTCTGTTCTAGTTCTGTTCTAGTTCTGTTCTAGTTCTGTTCTAGTTCTGTTCTAGTTCTGTTCTAGTTCTGTTCTAGTTCTGTTCTAGTTCTGTTCTAGTTCTGTTCTAGTTCTGTTCTAGTTCTGTTCTAGTTCTGTTCTAGTTCTGTTCTAGTTCTGTTCTAGTTCTGTTCTAGTTCTGTTCTAGTTCTGTTCTAGTTCTGTTCTAGTTCTGTTCTAGTTCTGTTCTAGTTCTGTTCTAGTTTCTGTTCTAGTTCTGTTTCTGTTCTAGTTCTGTTCTAGTTCTGTTCTAGTTCTGTTCTAGTTCTGTTCTAGTTCTGTTCTAGTTCTGTTCTAGTTCTCTGTTCTAGTTCTGTTCTAGTTCTGTTTTTCTGTTCTGTTCTAGTCTGTTTCTAGTTCTGTTCTAGTTCTGTTCTAGTTCTGTTCTAGTTCTGTTCTAGTTCTGTTCTAGTTCTGTTCTAGTTCTGTTCTAGTTTCTGTTCTAGTTCTGTTCTAGTTCTGTTCTAGTTCTGTTCTAGTTCTGTTCTAGTTCTGTTCTAGTTCTGTTCTAGTTCTGTTCTAGTTCTGTTCTAGTTCTGTTTCTAGTTCTGTTCTAGTTCTGTTCTAGTTCTGTTCTAGTTCTGTTCTAGTTCTGTTCTAGTTCTGTTCTAGTTCTGTTCTAGTTCTGTTCTAGTTCTGTTCTAGTTCTGTTCTAGTTCTGTTCTAGTTCTGTTCTAGTTCTGTTCTAGTTCTGTTCTAGTTCTGTTCTAGTCTGTCTAGTTCTGTTCTAGTTCTGTTCTAGTTCTGTTCTAGTTCTGTTCTAGTTCTGTTCTAGTTCTGTTCTAGTTCTGTTCTAGTTCTGTTCTAGTTCTGTTCTAGTTCTGTTCTAGTTCTGTTCTAGTTCTGTTCTAGTTCTGTTCTAGTTCTGTTCTAGTTCTGTTCTAGTTCTGTTCTAGTTCTGTTCTAGTTCTGTTCTAGTTCTGTCTTTCTGTTCTAGTTCTGTTCTAGTTCTGTTCTAGTTCTGTTCTAGTTCTGTTCTAGTTCTGTTCTAGTTCTGTTCTAGTTCTGTTCTAGTTCTGTTCTAGTTCTGTTCTAGTTCTGTTCTAGTTCTGTTCTAGTTTCTGTTCTGTTCTAGTTCTGTTCTAGTTCTGTTCTAGTTCTGTTCTAGTTCTGTTCTAGTTCTGTTCTAGTTCTGTTCTAGTTCTGTTCTAGTTCTGTTCTAGTTTCTGTTCTAGTTCTGTTCTAGTTCTGTTCTAGTTCTGTTCTAGTTCTGTTCTAGTTCTGTTCTAGTTCTGTTCTTCTGTTCTAGTTCTGTTCTAGTTCTGTTCTAGTTCTGTTCTAGTTCTGTTCTAGTTCTGTTCTAGTTCTGTTCTAGTTCTGTTCTAGTTCTGTTCTAGTTCTGTTCTAGTTCTGTTCTAGTTCTGTTTGTTCTAGTTCTGTTCTAGTTCTGTTCTAGTTTGTTCTAGTTCTGTTCTAGTTCTGTTCTAGTTCTGTTCTAGTTCTGTTCTAGTTCTGTTCTAGTTCTGTTCTAGTTCTGTTCTAGTTCTGTTCTAGTTCTGTTCTAGTTCTGTTCTAGTTCTGTTCTAGTTCTGTTCTAGTTCTGTTCTAGTTCTGTTCTAGTTCTGTTCTAGTTCTGTTCTAGTTCTGTTCTAGTTCTGTTCTAGTTCTGTTCTAGTTCTGTTCTAGTTCTGTTCTAGTTCTGTTCTAGTTCTGTTCTAGTTCTGTCTAGTTCTGTTCTAGTTCTGTTCTAGTTCTGTTCTAGTTCTGTTCTAGTTCTGTGTCTAGTTCTGTTCTAGTTCTAGTTCTGTTCTAGTTCTGTTCTAGTTCTCTTGGTACTTTTTTTGCTAAGAAAGTACCATTTGGTTTTCTACCCTTATATTTTTTCCTTAACATTTGACTTTGAGGCCTCTTTTCCTTTATTTTCTTTGTTGCCGTTTGCTTATTTCTCATTGAACCGTGTTTTTTGTTTTCCTTTTTGTCTTGAAAAACAATAATATTTATTTGTTATTGTCTACGTTACTACCCTCCCCTTTAAGTAGCCTGACCCCTGAGCTAATATCGAGTGATTTAGAGAATTTCTATATTTTTTGTTTTCAGCCAATATTAGATTGTTAATTTTGTCTACACATCTCTTTTACTTTAAATGATACTTTATGATAATTTATGAAAAATATTGGAGAAAAAAATAACATTGAAAATAGTAGAAATAAAGGTCATTTTTTGGAAAATGGTGGAAATATGAAGATTTTATTGATTTTGAAAAGAAATGAAAGGAAATTTGCTCTAGATGTTGATAGAAATTGAAATTGGAAAAGTGAAAAAGTTGCTTTTTGAAAGGAACTAAATGTGTTGTAACTTAAATTGTTAAAAAATTAAAAATTTTCAAAGAAAAATTCGGAAAATAACAAAAATTTTAAAAGGTACAAAAAAGTAATAGCAGAAAATTAAGTAAAAATCATTTAAAATGTAAATGCCATAAAGAAGTTTACAACAAGCAAGTTTTAGCAAACTGTTTATTTAAGTTTTAAATAAACAATAAGCTAAGAAATTAGCAATTTAAGCAAATTTTAACAAATTTATAAAAAGTACCCGAAAAAGTACCAAATGGATGAAAATTACTCAAAAATCGTTTAAAACTTAAACTACAACAAGAAATTGTTAATTTAAACGAGTTTTAGCAAATTTATAAAAAGTACCAAAAAAGGTACTTTTTAGAAAAAGTACCAAATCCATGAAAATTACTTAAAAACCATTTTAAACTTTAACTTAATTGATAATTTAAGCAAGTTTTAGGGAATTTATAAAAAGTACCAAAAAAGTACTTTTTAAAAAAAGTACCAAATCGAAGAAAGTTACGTAGAAATCGTGTAAAACTTTAACGCCAACAAGAAATTGATAATTTAAGCTACATTTTAGTACTTTTTATAAGAAAGTACCAAAAAGTTCTTTTCAGAAAAAGTACCACATCGAAGAAAATTGCCTAAAAATCGTTTAAAAACTTTAACGACAACGAGAAATTGATAATTTAAGCAAGTTTTAGGGAATTTATAAAAAGTACTTTTTGAAATAGTACCAAATCGAAGAAAATTACCTAAAAATCATTTAAAACTTAAACGTCAAGAAGAAATTGTTAATTCAAGCAAGTTTTAGCATATTTATAAAAAGTACCAAAAAAGTACTTTTTAGAAAAAGTACCAAATTGAAGAAATTTATCTAAAAATCGGTTAAAACTTTAACGCCAACGAGAAATTGGTAATTTTAGGAAAATTTAGGGAATTTATAAAATGTACCAAAAAAAGTACTTTTTAGAAAAAGTACCAAATCGAAGAAAATTATCTAAAAATCGGTTAAAACTTTAACGCCAACGAGAAATTGTTAATTTTAGGAAAATTTAGGAAATTTATAAAAAGTAGCAAAAAAAAGTACTTTTTGGAAAAAGTACCAAATCAAAGAAAATTACCTAAAAATCGTTTAAAACTTAAACGCCAACAAGAAATTGTTAATTTAAGCTTATTTTAGCAAATTTATAAAAAGTACCAAAAAAGTACTTTTTAGAAAAAGTACCAAATCGAAGAATTTTACTTAAAACCCTTTTAAAACTTTAACGCCAACGAGAAATTGTCAATTTCAGCAAGTTTTGGGGAATTTATAAAAAGTAACAGAAAAAATACTTTTTAGAAAAAGTACCAAATCGAAGAAAATTATTTAAAAATCGTTTAAATCTTAAACTACAACAAGAAATTGTTAATTTAAGCAAGTTTTAGTTAATTTATAAAATGTACCAAAAAAAGTACTTTTTGGTTTTAACATGAAATATAACTATCTAACGTAAAACTTATTTATCAACCCCTTCTTTGTAATGA